TAAATGGTGTGTAGTCTATTTTAGGAAAAGGTTCAAAAATAAAGTTGGGTAATGATATAAATATCACTTTGGGGAAATGGCTGGGAGAATTTCTTATTTTCTAGGTCCCCAGATTTAAACACTTTTTCCCTGTGAAGGCTTGCATGTTCCAAAGACCTTGAGAGCTAGCGTGACCATATTTCTCTATGCTGAATACAGGACACTTGTTAAAATTACTCGTATTCAAGCGAGTACAATAGCAATGAATCAGAACTATGCAGTACAAACATTCAGATCAACACTGTTAAAGAGAAATACTGCGTAATTGGATTCTTTTTATTTGCCTTCTTATCTTCAAGACTTTAGGATTCACATGGGGAGGGGTGAAAAACACACACACACACACACACACACACACACACACACACACACCTCTCTCACACAGGGAGGGTGACTGACTGACCCAACCCTCCCTGCCTGGCACTCTCTCATGCCTGTCTGGGTGCCCGGGATGGACCCACCTCTCCGGGTACCCAGTGCCATGTCTTTCCAAGGCAACACGTGCAGAGGCACGCAGGGTCACATGCCCATCTCCCCAGATTTCTGCCAGGGTTCACACCAGAATGTGGCCAGCAGCAGCCTTTCGGCACTGTCAAGGAGAGGGGGGAGCGATGACCTGGCCCGTGTCTTTGCGGAGCTCATCATTCCCCCCTCCCCCACTCCCGCTCCATGGCTGGAAGAAGCTTGTCCCTTCCTGCTCGCACAATGTTGAAAGTCAGTTAACACCTCCAGGCTGCTGCTGACCACCAACATAACCCAGCTGCCTCAGCCTGGGCAGAAAGGGACTAAGCCCAAAGGATGCATTGTGCACCAGAGCCCAGGGATCCTGACTGGAGGGGCTTCAACAAACCTGGCCAGAGAGGTGGCTCAGCAGGGGAAGGTACCTAGGGGATGGAGCAGCCTCTTGCTCCCTGGTGGCAGGACCTGGGGGGGCAGGTAAAGAGGGGGCTGCTGTGGATCCTGCAGGGCCAGGGTGTGAACAGGTTGGAAATTACTTCCCCCTGCCACTCCCAGAGATTAGCTGAGGGGCGGAGAGGCTGCCCCGTGCCAGCGCTGTGTGGGCTTTTTTTTGGCAAATGCAGGGCTCGGCTCCTCCTGGCCAGCATCCCAGGCTGGAGGGTTTGGGGATTTCCCAGGGTGCCGGCCCAGCCAGAGGCAGGGGAGGAAGAAAGGAGCCTGCTAGCCAGGCTGTTGGTGAGCTGAACATGCCAAGCAGGGGCTGGTTCTCTGCACAGCACTGGGAGTGGGACATGCCCCACTGGAGGGATATGGAGGAGCTGGGAGGAGTGAAGGGGCAAAGCAGGGAGAGGACAGCGAGAGGGGAGCATGTAAAGGGTGGATGGATGGGCAGCTGAGGCAACATGTAACCGGCTGCCGCCTGGCAACTACCCACACTCACCAAGCCCTGCTGGCTGAGACCTGGCATGCAGCAGGGGCTGCGCTGACAGACCAGCCGGGGAGTGGCTGGCCCTGCGCATTGCATCTTCGCCCCACCACCAGCCTTGCACACAAACTCCCATCGTCTGCCACTGGACCTTCCCACTTACCGCTGGTGTGCGGGCAGCTGGTGAGCAGGGATCCGACCAGCAGCAGGACCTGCCAGTACAGGTCTGTCGCATCTTAGGCGCATTTACAATGTGCGATTTCAGCTTTACGCGGTCGGCAAAAACACACACACAAAAAACAAAAAAAGAGAAAAATAACAATTTAAACTGTAATGCGGGCGATTGCGCCCGCCATTAACTCAATGTGATTTTGACTATACGCGATTTTCGCTTTAGGCGCTGACTGCGGAACATAACCCCAGCGTAAGATGAGACAGACCTGTACTGATGAGGGGAAGACAGAAAATACAGGACAATTTGCCCATTTTTAAGAAAAAGTTGGGACACCTGCAGGAGGGCTTAAATATGGGACTGTCCCTTTAAAAATGGGGCATCTGGTCACCCCATTAAGAGCTATGCTGGTGGGAGTTTTAACTCTTTATAGGGCCACCCCAACCAGACAAGTCAAAGAGTTTCAAAGACAAGGGACCAGACAAAAAGCAGTTAACTGACCCCTCCCCCGTGTTGGGGCTTGAGCAGTAGGCCAACAACCTAGCTTCATAAATAAGGTAAGTTATAGAAACACAAAACAGATATTTCTGGCAAATGGTATAATATACTGCCGTGGTCCCCAAACATTCAACTGTCTTTCTGTACCTGCTGAGCCAGTAGTTGAATCTTTCCCTGGTGCCGTAGAGCAGTGGTCTCCAAAGTGGGGTGCGCGCACCTCAGGGGATCCTTCGGGGTGCACGGCAGGAGGAGAGCTGCTGGAGCAGCACCGCTTTTTTTTTTTTCTTTCCCTCCTTCGGCAGTTCGGCCGAGAGTCCGAGTGGCTTTTTTTTTTTTCCTTGCTTCGACAGTTCAGCCGGGAGCAGGGGGTGCATGCTCAAAAATTTTTTACTGCGCGATCAAGGAAGTTTGGAGACCACTGCTGTAGAGGGGGTTGATGTATAGCTTCATCAGTCCAGGGATCAAGGGATAGGCTGGGTCCCACAGGATCACTATTGGCATTTTAACATTCCCAATGGTAATCTGCCGGTCCCTGCTTGTAGCTTTCTGAACAGTCCTGTGCTCTTAAAGATGTGAGCATCACTCACCTTCCACGATCAGCCCACATTAATGTCGGTGAAGAATCCCTACTGATCCACCACCGCTTGCATAATGATAGAAAAGTAGCCCTTTCTGTTGATGTACACTGTGGAAAGGCTGTTTGGTGCCAAAATAGGGATATGCATGCCATCTATTGCTCCACCACAGTTCAGGAACCCCATTGCTGTAAATCCTTCCACTATGTCCTGCACATTGCCGAGAGTCAGTCCTACGTAGCAGGAGGCAATTAATGGCCCTGCACACTTGCATGACAATGGCCTCACAGTGTGTTTTCCAATGCCAAATTGATTTCCCACTAACCAGTAGCAATCTGACATTGCAAGTTTCTACAGTGCAATCACCACTTGCTTCTCCATTGCTAATGCAGCTTTCATTTTGGTTTCTCTGCACTGGAGGGCTGGGACAAGCTCAGCACACAGTCCCAGGAATGCGGCCTTGAGCAGCTAAATGTCCTTCAGCCATGTCTTGGCATCCTAAGCCTGCATTACAATGCAATCCCACCAGTCAGTGCTCATTTCTCAGGCCCATCTGCAGCTGCTTCATGAATGCCACCAACAACCTTGAATTGGTTCTCGCTATATCCCGCAGCAGTCTGTCCTCTGCGAAATCATATTCCCCACAGACTCGGTTCTTCTTATGGCTCTGCAGATACCATAGGATCTTGAGTCCTGTGCCTGCCACACTCCTGACAATAGTGCAGAGCTGTGCAGGATCCACACTTCTGTCAGAGTTGGTGGACAGTGAGGAGGGCTGTGCAGGTTTGTGGGATTTTGAAAAAAAGGTGTGAAAATTATGGGATACCGATGACATTATGGGATGGAGTTAGTTGCACACTGGGAAGTTGAGGCCTTGCTTCCTGGCGCCCCTGCGTGAATTGTTTTTAACCCACCAGGCGTTGCCAAAACTTCCCAAAAGTCAGTGTGCTGAACGGTGGCAGGAGGCAGCATGGGATACCTATCCATGGTACACTGCACTGTGCATCTGTACATACACTCCTGCTAAGCACATGCACTGCTGACCCAAGTAGCCAGTATACATGTACATAAGTGAAATACCAACTGCGGTGTCTGTACGCTGATGTAACTTGCCTTGGCAAAACTTTGTAGTGTAGACATGGCCACAAACAATCCCTTTGGGGATATAAGGAACCAAAAGAGAGACTCTGTCTTTATTCTTTACCTTAGGAGACAAAGAAACCAAGTGATTTAATCGCTGTAATAGATCCTGGTAAGGCTGGCTAGAAAAAAGCCCTGGAAAGGAGACTGTGGGTGAGAGAACCCATCTTGAATAAAGACTGTATCTTGCTAGGTTAATTTTTAATCTTTTAGAAACATATTTTCACTTTTATTTCCTTGTAACCATTTCTAATTTTATCCCTTTTACTTGGTATCACTTAATCTATGTTCATCTGTTAATAAACTTGGTTTGTTTTGATTATAAATCGTCAGTGCTGTGTAAGAGCAATAAAGTGTATGCTTCTAGAAATGTAACAGGTTGGAGTGTTTTATTGTCTGTGTAGAGACAGTGAACTTAATACTTTCTCTGTGAGTCTTCAGTGAGAGATACTGACCCCTGCAGTAGGATGATTTTGGGGCAAATTCTGGATTAGAAGGCTACAAGGAGTAGCCTGCAAAGAGTAACCAAGTTGAGCAAAGCCAGCTTGTGGGCTGTTGGCAGGTTGTTAGGGTCAGAGCTATAAACTAAAACAGCACAGCTACAAGACACCCAACATGACAAGGTGGATGTGACTGAATCCGTTACTAGTCTGAGTGAACCCCAAAATGTCAAAAAGACATTAATAAAATATTCTACAAATACTTGGCAGTAGTTTATTTGTGATGCTGTGACTCAGTCACATTTCTTAATTATGAACTGCAGACAACTGACCCTTCAAACACCATTCCTTCTTGAAGGAAGGTAAATCTGAGGGCCCTGTAGAAGCATCTCACTGCCATCTACAGCCTCAACCCTTTCATGCCATCAGCAGTAGCTAGGAAGAATAAAGCCCCTGGATCCACCCTAGAGATGTGAAAGGTAACTTTTGATTCATACGTGAGTAAAAGGTACGTGGGGTATTTTACGCCAAGGATGTTCTCCAGGAAGTGAGAAGTGCAACTGTTCAAATATCTTCCTGCAGAGACCAGGAAGTTATAAAATAAAATAAAACCAGGAACACCTTCATCTGAGACTGAAATGAAATCACTTTGTATTGATTTACTGTAGACGCAGAACAGAATATTGAGCCGCGCCCCTCCATAGTCAGTGCCTATAAATTCTGATGCAGCTTTTGTCAGGCAACCTGACAAGATGGGTACCACAATGTTCTTCATTTGGATGATACTGTTAATTTCCGAAACTCTGCAGACTACCACAGGTAAAATGCCTACAATTCTTGCAAAGTCATTCTTTCAAAAATGTAAAGAGAAGTTTTGCTCATTGTCACTGGGTCCACATTTAGAACTTCCAGCATGGCAATAGGAGTTTTGTGCAAAAATTAAAGGTAGTGTAGGGCCACATTGGCTAGCACAGCTTTGTTCTATTGAAAAATGTGAGCCAAGGAAGCTAGTTAACTATAACTATTATTTGAACCATGTAATAAACTGCTCAGTATGATTAAATTAAACTTGCTCCCACTACCTAGGGTTTTGTGTTAAGGGCTTGTATCACAATTGAAATCAAGTCAATCAATATACTGTAAGTTACTGATTTCATGTCTCCAAATCTTTGTGTTCAGGGTGGGAATTAAGGAGGGATGTGGTTTCTCTTGCTAAAAAGCATATTTATTTTAAAGTGCTTCAAATGTAATATTTCCAGGTCCACAATGAATCACCCAGTTTATATTTCATTAAATATATTTTAATGACATGTAATCAGATATGCTTGTAAAATTATCATAGTGTACTTGAGGCAAATGAAATATTACACACACCCCAATATGCCGGCATCTTCCCTTTGTCAGTGATTTTCTTTCTTGCTATGTTATATGATTAGTTTGGGTAACCGGTTCAAAATGTTAAACCAACCTATTCTAAACAATCCTGTAAAGCTCATATTATATAACTTAGACTGTGTACCTGGAAACACGGTGGGTGATTTTCATAACTAGTATGTAAGCAGCATTATAGTTATTTTTATTCACATCAGGCCCTTGATTAAATGAAAATTTTAAAGGGCGAGTGTGCTATAGAGTGTGTCTATCTTTTCAGTGTATTAATGAATGGTTATGTTATAACAGGGGTATAAGGATATATGAGTGAACCCTAACTGTAACCTTAAAGCTGGGCAACTTCTTCAAAACAATTTAAAAATCTGGCTCCTTCCCTAATCTGAAATATCCTTCCTACCCTACCAATCATGGGATCTGAGTTACCTGTGTGCTCCTTGCTGAACAGATGGCTGGCCTCCTAACTATCTGACCTAGCCACCTTTCTTCCTCTAGTCTCTCTCTCTGTGTGTTTCTTCCTCCCCATCCCCTATTTCCTCCTCAGACGCTCCACATCTTTCCTCCCTCAGGATGGCCCTGACTTCTGCTTCCTCCAGCTTCTCCCACATTTTTCCTACTAACTCTCACCATTACTGCCCAGTCCCTTGAGCACTGCTTCCCAGTGGGGGAGATTATTTCCAGTGCTCTCTATGCATTATGCCATTGGTTGTTTCAGGCACCTCTGTATTTTTGGCACCTTTCACCTGTGTTGCAGTGAGCAGACCTGTAAACTTACATCCCTAATGGACAGGTTAAGCAAATAGAAAGATGAGAAAGAGGTAGACAATGGTGGCTCCCTTATAACCTTTAGCGCAGAGCCCTCAGCTGGGATGTGGTTGACCCAGGTTCAATTTCTCTCTCTACCTGATGCAGAGCAGAGATTTGAATTTGGGTCTCCCATGTCACAGCAGAGAGCCCTAGCCAATGGACTATGGGATATTTGGTGTGGGACTCTCTGAAACTTTTCTTTTGAAGGTGGTCTACTTTATATAAATAATTAAATAGTCAGTGGAGAAGGGACTTGAATTTGGGTCTCCCACATCTTAGGCGAGCGTCCCAACCACTGAGTTAAAGGGTATAAGGAAGCTTCCTCCAACTGTTTTGTGACTCTAACCCTTTATTTCCTGTGCTTCTATTTTAAAATGCTCCAAAAATCATTTCATTTGATCTAAAATAATGTTTTTGTCATTTTGTTGATATTTTTGGGGGGGGGGGACACTTTCAGTTTCAGATCAAACCAAATGGATTTTTTTTTTAATTTTTTGAAACTGCCAGAGAACTGAAAAATCCTTTATTCACCCAGTCCCAGTGTTCAGTCCTGCTATTGATGACAGATATAGACTGACTGCAAGAAAATATAACTTCAGGTCACCTGTAACTGACCAATAGCATCGTGCATTGCTTCCAAATTTACAGTTTCAATTCTATGCAAATTGCAAAATGTTTTGGTATTGCCGAATCTACCTTTTTTTTCTGGAAAAAGTTTTGGCCTAAAAATTTTGCCCAGTTCCAGTTATAAAACACTATTCACTGATGCTAAAATTTCTCACATTTCACCCTAACAGTTTCTGGATATACAACAGCTTCAGAAACAGGTAACTTATCACTTACATATTATCCATCGAGACATAAATTTTAATATGCTGACATGCACATGTACAGAATCACTACTGAAATTTATTACAGGCAGAGCTGCTAGTGCCACTTTTACTTAAGGTTGCCTAACACTGTCCATGATAAGGTCCAATTTTCAGTTGCTTATAACTTTGCCAAACTTCAACCATTTAGGCTCAAATTCATGAATGTTTGCCACACACTGATGTATTTTGGGAAGTTTCAACTACAAAATTTCTTCTGTTTTCAAAAATAAGATTAGGGAGAACATGTTGTTTTGCCCAGGTTAAAAACATTCTTTAAACTGTTTCATTAAGGAGCTCTTGAGCTTCCATGATTGGGTGTAGGGAGCTGGAATTTGGCAAAGGGGATATACTTTTGGCCACCCTGTGAAAATTCACCATAGGTCTCTAGTTTTGCCTGTTATCTTCCTGCAGAAACACCAGGATACACTCCATCATGGCCCTGGTACACAACAACTGGTAAGTGCTAACTCATGCTGGTTTCTCTCAGAGATTTCTCTTTTATGGGATTCTGTGCTTGAAATGTTTCGCAGCTGTAACGTATGATTTCAGGGAGCTGTTGCCATGTGACTGAAATGAGAGGAAGGACAGGTTGAATAGCAATATGAAGGGCCAAAAGTCAAACCTGGTTCAGTACATTTGTTGAACTGTACAGATGCATGTCACAGCCATAGTCTAACATATTGTACCCTCAGAGAACTGAGGTGTGGAGAATAAATATAGTTCTCCTCAGTCCATTCCACACACTCTCACTTCTGTTCCCTGTCCTTCCCCAGGAGATAGTAAGGCACATTTGCAACAGTTACAATTTTTCTTTGAGGATCAGATTTTCAAAGTGCTCCTCCTCCTCCCTGCACGTATGATTTTTTGAGCTTGTTAGCTGAAAGGCAACTTTGTGGAAGGAGGCAAATTTTCCTATATCAAAAACAAAGAAACATTCACATGAAACTCTGAGAAGTTAACCACTGATTTCTACACAGTTTTAAAAGTGTTTGAGCTGAATTCTGTCCTTACTGACATCAGTATAACTCCATTGACTTCAGCGGAACAGGCTGGAATAACAGTTCTGTGGAGATTTGTACACAAAACCTTGCTATTCTGTGCTTGAAGAATGGAATTATCCTAGTCATGTCTTTATTTCCCAATAGCTGGGGATCACACTTCCTGTGTGTAGCTTTTTTTATTCTGATTGTCACAATCCAATATGACCTCCCACACTCACAAATTAATGTTTCTGTAACTATAATTGTTCTTACAGAAATATTGACCTTTGCTTTTATGTATGTTTTTAGCCTATTACGACTGTGGTGGCCACCTCTCAGGTTTTTCTGGGGAATTCTCTAGTCCAAACTATCCTAGTTACTATCCAAGCAATGCACGATGCATCTGGGAAATACAAGTGGAATATAATAGTTACGTATACGTCCAGTTTGACCATATTGCGTAAGTAAAGCACTAGATATTTATAAGTAATTTAGCCTTTTTTGATCTTTAATTATTGTGCTATCCAGTTGGTCATTTATTTTCACTGATCTTTATTAGAGGGCCCTTTAACCATTTGAATGCATTATGGATGTATGAGTAGCACCATTAAGCATGTATGTTCATCTCATTTAATGAATTTTCCTGACTCACATCTATACTAATTACATTTCTATGTGCACACCTGACTTCAAAAGCACCAGACTGGGTGCATTACATGGGGTGGTTACATTGCAAAAACTCTGAAAGGGTGTTGCAATTAGGCTTCATTTTTACAAAAAAATATTCTGTCTTCTATGTGCAAGTGATATATATAATTGCAATTTCACGTCATCTAGCATATGTACAAAACGTTAAGTATAATAAATACAATAACTTGGGGAATTCAGGAGATTAGGCTGTGCTCTTCATCTAATGTTGATTTGTAAGTAAATTGCAGTGCACACATAACATAACATTTTGAAATTAGATCACGCATATGGTGACTTGAGGACATAAAGAAATGTTCTCAGAACATCAGTCCTAGCTATACCATGATATTGTAACTTCATTTGGTTAAAAGTATAAAATTATAGATTTCTTTAAAGAGGATTAAAATTGTAATGTTAAATATTAAATTTGTTAAATCTTCACCTGGACATTTGTTGATAGAGGGTGAGCACATTGTACAGTAACATAGGGAATGTTTACACAGCAGTGAAAGCCTGGGGTTAGTGGGACTCAAGTCAGCTGACCCATGTCAGGGAACCCTGGGCTTGTGCATTTACACTGCATTTTAATCCTAGATAAAGGATTTTCTGACCGGAGCTCTAACCTAGGGCTCTGGCATCCACACTGCAGTGCGCACACTGAAGTCAAAATCCCCCTATCCCGGAATGCCTAGCTTCCCCTCCCCCCCACCCTAGCATTGACACTCTAACCCGACGAATATGTTGCACAGTAGGGAAATTCTACTGCCCATTCTCTTTCCTCCTGTGACAGTGCTATTGATGGGACTCAGGTGCCCATAAGGAGCTATGAGTACATATACCACATTATTCGCTCATTTGGTAGCTGTCTCAGGAGAATGATTGCAGTTAGAAAAGGCTTTATACTGAGCTACTATCTAATCTGAGAATTGGTCTCGCCACCTCTAGGCTGAGTCACATTGGCAGGAAAATGCCCATGTGCACCTGTTCTGAGGATAATTAGGACATCAGTCTCCAGGACTGTCAAACTAGGAAACGTTGCAACTCTTAAGATTCAAAATGGGATTTTCAATGAAGGTGTTTTTGTTTTGCTGGTTTTTTATTTATTTTTTGCTGTCTGTTTTGAAGTTTAATAATATGTGGGTTACAGAGGAGAAACACTTACACACCCCAGCCTGGCTTCTGCTGGCTGCAGAGCAAAGTGCATCCTCAGAGCTTGGCGTGCAGTGTGTTCCACCCTCCCCCCCCCAGGAATCCATTATCCCCTCTCCCGCTGCACCCTGGGAGGCAGGGATAGGGGATCCCTGGGAGGCTTTTGGGCTGGCTCCCACTCACTACCCGCAAAGTGCACGCTGTCCGGATGCCCCCGCATGCACAGCCCCAGGGAGGGCAGAAGGGGCAGAAAGCATAGCGGGGACCACGCGGCTGCCCTGCAGGGAGGGGGAACAGCCAGAGTGTTGGGGGGTCATCCCTTCCCTGGCCATGCTGAGCCAGAAGCTATGCTACTCCCCCTCCCTGTAGCCGCTTCGTTCCCACTCTGCTCTCTGCCCTCTTTGCCCCCATGGGGCTGTGTGTGCAGGGGCGCCCAGACACTGTGCACCAACATCTGGCTGTGCTCTTGTGACCAGGAAGCAGCTCTCTTTGCAAAAAGCTTCTTCTGATCAGTCTCTATTGAAAACGCTGCAGTTTTCTGATAGTCAGGGCCCTACCAAGTTCATGGCTGTGAGAAACATGTCACGGACCATGAAATAAGCCCTTTCCCATGAAATCTGATCTCCCCCGTGCTGCTTTGAGCACCTCAGCCGGGGGGCTTTCACTGCGAGTACCGACCGGGCTGGGGAGGGACAGGACTTGTCCTTTCCCAGCACAGCCACTGGCAGGAAAGATCAGACCCATCTCCGGTTACCTTTTGGGTTGGAACCCCCACAGTTACAACAACGTGAAATTTCAGATGCAAACATCTGAAAATGTGAAATTGACCAATTAAAAAACCCTCTGGTTGTGAAATTGATCAAAACAGACCTTGAATTTGGTAGGGCCCTACTAACAGTGTACTTGCAGACCGGTGTTCAGCAGGCAATGAGTTAGTGCTCATCTGAGCTGCTGCACTATGCAAAGTGAGGTGTGGCTTCCTTTTGCAATAGAGTGCAATACACTGTACCACAGATTGTTGGCATTGAGAGGACTAAGGAAGTTGCCCCAAGGAACTCTGGGATAAATCTGGAAGACTTCTGGGACCTGAGTGAAGCTACGGCTGCATGCAGACAGAAAAGTAATAGGGCCCAGGCCCGAGGTCCCAGCTTAACATTGGCTCGGACCCCCTCAGCCCTGCAGAATCCTGTGACCCTAGGTTCGAGTTCCAGGTTAACACAATTGGTGTATGGATGCAAGGGGAGTTAGGTTGAGTCTGGGCTTAAGCTCAGGCTTACATTGCTGTGTAGACGTACCCATAATTTCCACTAAAGGCCACTTTTTCAAAACATGGCCTCTAACTGTGTGTGTGTTAAACCTGCCACTTCTGCATGAACGAACTGTCCAGTGTGCCAAAAATGTAGTATCTGTGGTCGGCAAGTATTTATCTGCATGCCTGCAGAAATGCTAGTAACTGGCACATGTGTAATGAGAGGTTACGCTACTATAAACTGCAGGCCAACAGTTCTGGGACACTTTCAACAAACTGTTTTGACTGACAGCCAAAAGGATAATTTACAAGTACAGTCTAACTTTCCCTCCACAGACTGGAACCGAATAGTAACTGCAATCACGATTTTATTGAAATCTATGAGCGACAGCCAAATGCATCTACTTTGCTGGGAAGAATATGTACTGGTAGCTATGAAATATTTACATCCAATTCAAACAGAATGACCGTTGTGTTTTCGAGCGATGGCAGTTACCAAAATACAGGATTTCATGCTTCTTATTATACTGTCTTCATAGGTAAGAATAATTACTTTGTCTCAGATATGCTGGTTAGCATGGAGCATATATTTTGTGAACCTGGCCAGATGAACTAATTATTTAGGATTCTCATTCTTTCTCTTATATTATCCATTTTTATTTCTTCTTTGACAGTAGATAGTTTTAGCAATTTCAGCGGAATGGGAGAGTTTTACAACACTGCATGGAGGTTACGAATGTAAACAGGGAAAGTTCCAAATGTAAAGAGAGTATGAAGTTTTCCAGAAAAATATGCATCCTGCACAAAAATGCCCTTACTCCACAATCAAAGGGGGAGGAACATTGAGTGGTCACAGGGGAAGGATGCAGTGCCCACATGGTGGGGGGGGGGGAGTTGGCTGATGTGTGAGAGCATGTGTGGCTGGGAAAGGGGAGGCTATCTCTTAAGGTCCACCACCTTCCCCATTGTCTGTAGGGGAGGGAATGAGCTAGCCTTTTGGCTCTTGTGCACCCCCCACCTAGCCGATTTAAGCTTATCCAGTCTTTTCAGAAAGTGTCTTGCTACAGCTAGTTACCCTGCCCTCCATCACCTTAGTTTAGCATCAGTGCTGTGGTATTTAGGATGTGTTAGTGATTTAGGGGTGCACAGAGGGTGAGGAGCTGAGGATGTTGGTGACTGAATATTTTATAGGCCTGGCAAAAATAAAGCTGAGCTCAGCCATGATCAAGTCGTGTTCAGTGGGTCGCTGAAAATGCAAATGGATTGGTTCTTCCTTTTCCATCCACCAACCCTCACTAACACGTGTCAAGAGTGCAGTGAGAGTAGGCTGTGGAGCCCCAGCAAAGCTACAGGGAAGATTCAGTTTCCCTCAGCGGAGAATTTGACGCTTACCAATTAATACAAATCTTAATCTAAATGTCAGAATATGGGTTCTGTTCAAATAACCATTCAAACTTTGGAACCAAATGGTAGTGTTCTAGTTTGCTTCTCTGGCAGACCGAGATTCGCTTTCATAAGCCTAACTATGCAGTCTTCATTAGCTGGCAGGATGATGGAAGGTTAGAAAATCTTGGCATTTTAGGAAATTGGCAAAAATGGCAACAAGCTCTTACCCTGATACATGGGAATCCCCAGGAAAAAGCAGAAAATAAAAACCATTATTTATTATGCAGAGAATCTGCAAAATATAAAATTAACTCAGATTTATCATAATAATACTTTACATTTATATACGGGGGTTAATTTATGGATCTCAAAACAGCTTACCTAGAAGTAAAGGATATTTATCCCCATTTTTACAGATGGGGAAACAGAGACATAGAGTTTAAGTGACTTGCCAAGGGCCACACAACAAGACAGTTAAAAATGTGGGAGTAGAAACCAGATTTCTTGACTCCCAACACCATGCTAGAGCCACTAGGCCACAGTTCTTTCCTTGTCATATAACATTTTGCTATATGTACATTACTTGCTCTTCTCTCAACAGGCTCTGGTGGTATAAAATAGGGATGACCGGAAAGCCAGAACATTCTGGTTTGGAGAATAATTTTGAGGTGTTAAAATTTGTTTTCATTCTGCCTCAGAACAAAAATGAGACTGTTTGGATTTTAATGAAAAAGCACAAGAGTTTTAGCGCAAGCCCTCCCCACAATAGCCAATAGCATGGTACTTAAGGCATTCACCTATTATGCAGAAAACCCAAATTCAATGCCCTGCTCTACCTATCTGGGAGCAGACACTTGAACCTGGGTCTCTTACATCAGGTGAGTGCCCCCACGCACACTGTGCCAAAGAAAACCAACCTCTCTCCTGGACCTAAGACATCTCCCAGTGAAAGGTTTGTTGAAACAGATGTTTCCATGAAAAGTTTTTGTTTTGATGAATCAGCATTTTCCAACCAAAAAAAAATTTGTCAAAAAATTCCCAAGCAGCTAGAGTATAGCATCCAGCACTAGGGTGACCAGACAGCAAGTGTGAAAAATCGGGACGGGGGTGGGGGGTAATAGGAGCCTATATAAAAAAAAGACCCAAAAATTGGGACTGTCCCTATAAAATCGGGACATCTGGTCACCCTATCCAGCACATTAACATAAGGATAGGCTATAACCAGATGCGTGATTCAAACTCCTTAGTGTTTTTCATGATTTCGGAGGGGGAGGTTGGGGAAGGGGATGAGGGAGGAGAGAAATTACACTAGTTGGAAAAAGACTATTGCCCATTATTTTACAAATCATTTCCCATGTCTTTCAAAGACTGGTGAATGGATGGAACAGATGTGAGGATCATGTTGAACTTTATTACAAATGAAATTGGGCAAGGGTTTGTGATGATTAATGGAACACACAAAGCAGGGGTTGTTTGAAGGCAGCCTGGATGTGGATAGGGCATTTCAGCAACAAGAATTGTATATTTTGGTCAGGACTCAAAAAATTTTCTCCTTGATTATCTGCATTGTGGAGGTAATGAATCCTATCTTTAGGACTACCTTAGTCTAAGATGGGACTCATGTAACTGTGGTCCCAGTGAAGATGTTGATTCCATCTCTACAGGCATTTTCTGATTTTTGACCAGTTCTGCTATGCTTACTCACATAGAGGAGTGCCTTACTGCCATAATCTGAAAGATCCAATGATTTTAGATGACCTTGTTATGGGGTACGTTCCTACACAACATGAGTAAGAGTTTAAGAATTGGGCCCAGAAGAAGGAAAAATAATCCTACAAATACTTCTGCACATAAATAATTTGAATCATCCAAGAAGGTCCCATTGGCTTCAATGGAACTAGTGGTGTGAATAAAGTTACTCATAAAATACAAACCCCCCCCCCACATTTATGTTTTTCCATGGCTCTGGCTCACTGAATAAAATCTGTCCAGAATTTTAAAAATGTATTAATAAACTTAGAGATGGAACAGAACCAAAACCATGAATCCAAATACACTTGACCTTTGGGAACATTTAGATCCATGCCTAAACTGTGGTTTGGGCCTATCTCTAATTTAAATGTTGTTGCATGCCTGTTAGATCTTTCACTATGCAACCTTTCATTGTGGGGATAAGATGAAGAAGGTCATAATACTTGGTATGTTCTGTAGGCTGCCTGAGTGAAAACCTTTTAAGTTAAGGGTGCCTCAACCGATACACCAAAATCAAGGCTGCTTCAGTTTTGGACATTTCTGCCAAAAACACATTGCTGAAGATATTTAGCAGGGCATAAGTGCTCTTAAAGAGACTTTGTTTGCTCTCATTTTTATTCTCTAATAAATATTTATTGCATTTTAGTCCTGTGAACCCTTCATCATCAGGAGGTTTATTTACTAAATTCCTAACAGGTACATGTGTGCAAAGCCAGTGAAGCCAAAGAGGTTGCACAGCTGGTACAGAGGGCGTGATTTGCCCTGCAGAATCTTTATTACTGATGATGATAAAAAGGAAAAGAGAGAAAGAAAAGGGCTTAGAACTTAGAACCCAGGATGGACATGCATGACTGGCAAACAGGACAAAAAATAAAACCCAGCACTGGTTTATTTCTCAACTTGAGTATGTTTGATATGGAAATTGATGAGACAATAAACATGGAACAGGATGGAATCACTTTTCAGAGCAGAGCTGTACTATAAGAGAAATAAGATGGGGCCAGTGAGCTTACTAATTAAACTCCATCCAGCCTTTTCTCTTGCTCACCAAATTTTTTTAAAAAATACTACTTTCCCTCTCTGTCACTCATTTTCCCCATTCAATTGCAGTGAAATCTTTCTATGAATTACTTATTGGTAAAAATAATTGGTTAAAATTGCTACCTTATTTATGTGAATTTGATCCTGGTGTCTTGCCCTTAACTCATTAGAATATAGCATAAGTTGCAAGTCAAAATGTGCTTGGTGGTGTTTTTCTATCAATTTTCTATCACGGTACTCTTAGTTCAACAGAATTCAGGACTGGGATAGCCTCAGTGTAGGGAAATAATCACATTGCCTGCTCACACTAAACTTTGCTCAAATCCATTTTTAGGCATCCCTTACTTCAGTGAGCATCAAATAAATAAAATGATTAGTAATCTGAAGAAATCCAAATGTATTTTTTTTTGTTTGTATCTTCTATAAAAATGCTCAGCACTACTTAATATTTGGGAATAGCCTGAGCATTATTTAGATTCCCAGACTTGTAATTAATGTAAGTTATGGAACTGATAGTTAATACCCTTAGGCATTTCCGAATATCAAGGATCTCTCACAAGATGAACAATTCCATAGGCACCAATCCAGTCAAGCACCTAAACACATGCTTAACTTTAATCACGTTTAATCCATTGGTTTCAAGTCAATGGAATTACTTTCTAGCTTGTGTACACATATGTGTTGATAGGATTGAGGCCTAAGATTGCATTCCTCTGAAGTACCTAGTGATTTCAGAGTGCAGTGCAGCTTTGAGAGACCCCCTGTTTCTTTGGTGCCCTATTTGCTGCTCTTTGGCACTACGTTAATTACAGCGACAAGGTTTTCTATTTATTTTTGGAAAAAACATTACCATGCCAAAAAATCAAACTCACTAAGCTGTGTCTTTCTCTTTTATCTTTCAGACATGACGACACCTGGTAATTATCTCTTTTTAACATTTTTGTTTCGCTTTATTTCTCTTTCCCAATGCTTCCCAATTCAACAAACAACAGCATTACTGCTCCCAAACAGGGATATCAGATGCAGGAGTTATTGGCATATATAATCTGGTGTAATGAAAGAAGGCGGAGCCTGTTGCACTATGCATTCTACCCTGAGAGCCAGAGGAGAGTGGCTCTCATAGATATCAGAAAAAGGGCCAGGGACAATAGTTATGCTGAAGAGTTTGAGGGCCCTCAATGGTTAAAAATAGATGACAAGATTTTAAACTACACTGATAATTTCTGCAAACCTGCAATACTCTTCGATCAGATTTCTGAAGGCTGGCTGTTACTCTACCAAAATAAAATGGCACAGAAAGCTCCATAAGAAACATTAAATGAGACTTCTCAACAGAGTAGTTCTTGCAGCTGTAAGCGTCTCTGATCCTTCAGACTGTAGGGTCAAATGACTATGATTGTTTAGTAGCTATATTACCGCAGCGCTCAAAGCCCTAGGCCTAATTGTGCTGGGTACTGTACAAACATACATAAAGAAGCATTTTACCCCCTGAAAACGTTTTCCTTGAGTTTTTGACTATTACAAATAGAGCTGGGCCCAGATTCAATTTCCCTTCTGCCTGATATGGAAAAGGGATTTGAACTTGGGTCTTCCATATTTCAGGAGTATTCCTGGGCCACTGAGCTATGGGATGTCCTGATATAGAGTTTTCTCCATCTCTCCTGTCCCATCTGTCCTACTTTGTATAAATAATGAAATTGTCATTGGAGTAGGGCCTTTGAATTTGGATCTGCCATACCTTAAGTCAGTGGTTCTAAACCAGGAGTACCCCTGGGGGTATGCAGAGGTCTTCCAGGGAGTACATCAACTCATCTAGATATTTGCCTAGCTTTACAACAGGCAACATAAAAAGCAGTAGCGAAGTCAGGACAAACTAAAATTTTATATAGACAATGACTTGTTTATGCTTCTTTATAATACTATACACTGAAATGTAAGTACAATATTTATATTCCACTTGATTTATTTTATAATTACATAGTAAAATGAGAAAGTAAGTAATTTTTCAGTGCTCGGATGCTGTGACACTTTTCTATTTTAATGTCTCATTTTCTGTAAGCAAGTAGTTTTTAAGGGAGGTGTAACTTGGCGGTACCCAAGACAAATCAGACTCCAGAAAGGGCTACAGTTGTCTGCAAAGGCTGAACGTCCTAACCACCAGCCTATACAGTCATTCTTACACTTTGCCCCTCTCCCAATGAATTAATTGTCATTCATAGTGGCAATTCAGAGAGTCATTCGTAATGCTAAAAATCTATTTGCCGAAAATCTTTTGCCCAGTTTTATTTATAAATATCCCTCTTCCTAACAAAAGAAATGCATTCCTAGGATGAATTTCTTTCAGGATCTACATGACACATGCAAGAAAATCAAACACCTTAGCAAATGTTTTCTCGTGATACTGAGAGATGTCATTGAAAATGAAAAACAGACCCTAGCACAAAGGAGTCTGGTCTATGACTGGGGCTCCTAGGAGCTACAGCAATATAAATAAAAACAATAATAATTAATCCGCATGAACATTCATTTGAATAGTCATATTGACTTATATAGGGCTAGTAAGCAGAAGAGAATTATTGTTGGAAATGTAGGGCTGAAAGGGATCTCGAGATTCCATCTATATTTTCCCTCTGTGCTAAGACCGGGATACCTAGAACATCCCTGATAGATTTTCATTTAATCCTTTCTTCAAAACCTCCAGTGGTGGGGATTCACATGCATGTTTACAGGATTGGATCCCAAAGGGTTAACATTCATATTTCTTAACTCTGTTTTCTCCTTCCTCTTCTTTTAAGTAAGTGTCTTCATTACAGTAATCAGAGGAAATGCAGACAACTAGCTTTTTATCAGCTTTGTGAATTATGCAATTGGCTAAAAATATAGTTGTGTTATTTGCAAGATGGGTCCCTGCTTTGTATTCTCTAGTGTCATGAATGTCTAGCCAGCCATCTCTCTCCATCCACCTATATACCTACCATGTTCTAATTTTCATCCTTTCTCTCTCTCTCTCCATCTATCTTCTCCCCCCATTCAGTTATGCTTTTAATTTGGTTATGATTTTATTGGTGTTATCTTGAATTTGGCACATTACTCTACAAGTCTTTCTCTCACTATTAAAGATGTTGCTGATTTATGTATTATTCTCCTTTTGTATTAATAGCTACTACTACTACTACTACTACATGGCTGCCTTCAACAGGTAATTCATAATTCTTTTACTTCTTTATTTCTATTTTGTATTCTTCTTAATTATTTCATTATAATAAATAATAATTCCCATATAAATGGCATCAGATTCCTTGGATAGGAAAATAAGTACGGCATGGTGATAAATCTCTGTATTTTTTGCAGGCTGTCTTCAGGCTGACGGCAATACATTTTTTTGAATAACCACTTTTTCTTTCTTTTGACAGCTAGCACTTCTAAGTAGGGATACGGTAGTACTGTAGTAGTTTATTTAGGTATTTATACTTTAAAGTAAGCACATAGGCCCCAATCCTGCAAACACGTATGTATGTGCTTAACTTGGCTGACGTGACTAGGCCCAGTGGCCTCAATGAAACTATTCCTGTCAGCAGAATTAAGCATGTGTGTATATGTTTTCACAAATAGGACTCTAGAGCCTAGTGATACTTGAGTACATTTGATGAGACAATAACCGTGGAACAGGTTGGAATCACTTTTCATAGAAGAGCTGTATTATAAGAGAGCTTAGTGAGCTTACTAACTGAACACCATCCAGCCTTTTCTCTTACTCACCAATTAAAAAAAAATTACTACAGTCCCTCTCTGTCTCTCATTTTCCCCATCTATACACTGAGGATAATATACTTACCTGTTTGGTAACTTGCTTTGGGAGCTATTGATGAAAAAGGCTATAGAAGATCTTGGTGGTGTTATCATTATTATAATTTTCATGACAGAAGTAACTTGATCTGCACCTTCAAATGCTTGTGATCCATCCAAAGATGCATCAATTGCAGTGAAAGTTTTCTATGAATCTCTTATTGGTCAAAATGTTCATTGACTGAGGTCACTGGTTGCATCCGTCTCATTCACCCAGAAGTTAGTGATTTGAGGGTGCTATGCTGCTTTCAGGAACTCACTGTGTCTGTGCTACCCTACTTGTTGCTCTTTGGCTCCAGTTAATTACAATTACACTGGTTTCTATATATTTTTGGTAAAATATTACAGTGCCCAAAACAAAACAAAAAAGCACTAACCCCGTCCTTCTCTTTTATCTTTCAGACTCGACGAGACCTGGTAATTGTCTCTTTTCAGCATTTTTTGTTCAGTCCATTCCACTCTCTATCACTTCTGTTCCCTGTCCTTCTCCAGGAGATAGTAAGGCACATTTGAGACTGTTATAGTTTTCCTTTGGGGACCAGATTTTCAAAAAGTGCTCCTCCGCCCTGCATACATGATTATTTTAGGATCCTTTGAGCTTGTTAGTTGAAGAGCAACTTTGTGGACGGAGGCAAATTTTCCTATATCAAAAACAAAGAAACATTCACATGAAACTCTGAGAACACCAATTTCTACACAGTTTTAAAAGTGTTTGGGCTGAATTCTATCCTTACTGACATCAGTATAACTCCATTGACTTCAGTGGAACAGGCTGGAATAACAGTTCTGTGGAGATTTGTCCACAAAACCTTGCTATTCTGTGCTGGAAGAATGCAATTTTCTTAGTTGTGTCATTTTTTCTCAATAGCTGGGGACCACACTTCCTAAATGTAGTTTTTTTTTATACTGATTGTCACAATCCAAGATGACCTCCCAGACTCACAAATTGATGTTTTTGTAACTATAATAGTTCTTACAGAAATATAGACCTTTTCTTTTATGTTTGTTTTTAGACTATTACCACTGTGGTGGCTACCTCTCAGGTTCTTCTGGGACATTCTCTAGTCCAAACTATCCTAGTTACTATCCAAGCAATGCACGATGCATCTGGGAAATACAAGTGCAATACAATGGTTATGTACATGTCCAGTTTGACCATGTTGCGTAAGTAAAGTACTCGATATTTATAAGTAATTTAGTCTTTTTTGATCTTTAATTATTGTGCTATCCAGTTGGTCATTTATTTTCACGGATCTTTATTAGAAGGCCCTTTAACCATTCAAATGCATTATGGATGTATGAGTAACACCATGGGGTGTACATTCATCCCATTTAATGAATTTTCCTGACTCACGTGTGCACTAATTACATTTCGTATGTGCACACCAGACTTCCAAAGTCACCAGACTGGGTGCATTACATGGGTTGGTTACATTGCAAAAACTCTGAAAGGTTGTTGCAATTAGGCTTTGTTTTTACAAAAAAAAAATCTGTCTCCTGTGTGCATATGATATATATATAATTGCAATTTCACGTCATCCGTGCATGAGTACAAAACGTTAAGTATAACGAATACAATAACTTGGGGGAATTCACGAGATTAGGTTGTGCTCTTCATCTAATGTTGATTTGTAAGTAAATTACAGTGCACAAATAACATAACGTTGAAATTAGATCACGCACATGATGACTTGAGGACATAAAGAAATGTTCTCAGAACATCAGTCCTATCTATACCATGATATTATATCTTCGTTTGGTTAAAAGTATGCATGAAGCATTTTTATTTTCTCATAGGTTTCTTTAAAGAGGATTACAATGTTAATGTTAAATATTAAAAATATTAAATCTTCACCTGGACATTTGTTGATAGAGGGTGAGCACATTGTACAGTAACATAGGGAATGTTTACACAGCAGTGAAAGCCTGGGGTTAGTGGGACTCAAGTCAGCTGATCCATGTCAGAGAACCCTGGGCTTGTGCATTTACACTGCATTTTAAACCTAGATAAAGGATTTTCTGACCGGGGCTCTAACCTAGGGCTCTGGCATCCACACTGCAGTGCGCACACCCAAGTCAAAGTAACCCTATCCCAGAATGCCTAGCTTCCCCTCCCCCCCACCCTAGCATTGACACTCTAACCCGACGAATATGTTGCACAGTAGGGAAATTCTACTGCCCATTCTCTTTCCTCCTGTGACAGTGCTACTGATGGGACTCAGGTGCCCATAAGGAGCTATGAGTACATATACCACATTATTAGCTCATTTGGTAGCTGTCTCAGGAGAATGATTGCAGTTTGTGAAGGCTTTATACTGAACTACCATCTAATCTGAGAATTGGTCTCGCCACCTCTAGGCTGAGTCACATTGTCAGGAAAATGCCCATGTGCACCTGTTCTGAGGATAATTAGGACATCAGTCTCCAGGACTGTCAAACTAGGAAACGTTGCAACTCTTAAGATTCAAATTGGGATTTTCAATAAAGGTGTTTTTCTTTGGCTGTCTGTTTTGAAGTTTAATAATATGTTGGTTTCAGAGGAAAAACAGACACACACCCCAGACTTCTGCCGGCTGCAGAGTGAAGTGCATCCCCAGATCTGGGGGTTCAGAGTGTTCCAGCACCCCCTAGGAATCCAGTATCCCTTCCCCTGCCGCACCCCGGGAGGCAGGGGCAACGGATCCCTGGGAGGCTGTGAGGAAGTTTTGGGACTGGCTCCAACTCGCCACCCGCACAGTGCACGTTGTCCGGGTGCCCCAGCATACACTGCCCCAGGGAGGGCAGAAGGGGTCAGAAAGCATAGTGGGGACCAAGCGACTGCCATGCCGGGAGGGAGAACAGCCAGAGTGTTGGGGGGTCATCCGTTCCCTGGCCATGCTGAGCCAGGAGCTATGCTACTCCCCCTCCCTGTAGCCTCTTGGTCCCCACTCTGCTCTCTGCCCTCTTTGCCCCCATGGGGCTGTGTGTGCAGGGGCGCTCAGACACCGTGCACCAACATCTGGCTGTGCTCTTGTGACCAGGAAGCAGCTCTCTTTGCAAAAGGCTTCTTCTGATCGGTCTCCACTGATAGTTAGGGCCCTACCAATTTCACGGCTGTGAAAAGCATGTCACGGATGGTGAAATAAGCCCTTTCCCATGATATCTGGGGGTAGTGAGGGAGCTCAGACCCACTTCCAGATACTTTTGGGTTGGGACCCCCATGGGTACAACACCATGAAATTTCAGATGTAAACATCTGAAAACGTCAAATTGACCAATTAAAAAACCCTCTGGCTGTGAAATTGATCAAAATGGACCATGAATTTGGTAGGGCCCTACTGATAGTGTACTTGCAGAACCATGTTCAGCAGACAATGGGTTCATGCTGATCTGAGCTGCTACAGTATGCAAAGGGAGGTGTGGCTTCGTTTTGCAACAGCATGCAATAGACTGCACCACAGATTGTCAGCATCGAAGGACTAAGGAAGTTGCCCCCAGGAACTCTGGGATACATCTGGAAGACTTCTGGGACCTGAGTCAAGCAAGGGCTGCATGCAGACAGAAAAGTAATAGAGCCCAGCTTAACATGGGCTCGGACCCTAGCTTAACATGGGCTCGAACCCTCCAGCCCTGCGGGATTATGGGTCCCTATGTTTGAACCCTAGGTTAACAAAGAGAGTCTGGGCTTATATTGCTGTGTAGATGTAACAGTGACAGACCCTGGTTGTCGGCGGGCAGGATTTAACCTGGGGCCTCTGGAGCTTAGTGGATGAGCCTCTACTTCATGAGCTAAAAGCCAATTGGCTGTTAGCTAAGGCTGTAGAGCAGACTCATTAATCTCTCTTTCTAAATGGTCTCGGTGCCACTAGGTGGGACAGAACACCGCACCCAGGAGGTGTGTGAGTTACAAAGATATACCCGTAATTTCCACTAAAGGCCACATTTTCAAAACATGGGCTCTAATTGTGTTTGTGTAACCTGTCACTTCTGCATGAATGAACATTCCAGGGTACCAGAAATGTAGTATTAGTGGTAGGCAAGCAAAAATGCTAGCAATTGGCACATGTGTAACGAGAGATCAGGCTACTATAGACTGCAGGCCACAATGTCTGAGGCACTTTCAACACTTTCAAAAAGTGTTTTGACTGACAGCCAAAAGGATAATTTACAAGTACAGTCTAACTTTCCCTCCGCAGACTGGAGCCGGACACTAACTGCACTCACGATTTTATTGAAATCTATGCGCAAGAGTCATACACATCTACTTTGCTGGGAAGAATATGTACTGGCGGCTATCAAGCATTTACATCCTATTCAAACAGAATGATGGTTGTGTTTTTGAGCGATGGCAGTTACCAAAATACAGGATTTCATGCTTCTTATTATACTTTCTTCCGAGGTAAGAACAATTACTTTGTCTCAGATATGCTGGTTAGCATGGAGCATATATTTTGTGAACCTGGCCGAATGCACTAATTATTTCGGATTCTCATTCTCTCTTATATTATCCATTTTTTATTTCTTCTTTGATAGTAGATAGTTTTAGCAATTTCATCGGAATGGGAGAGTTTTACAACAATGCATGTAGGTTAAGAATGTAAACAGAGAAAGTTCCAAATGTAAAGAGAGTATGAAGTTTACCAGAAAACTATGCACCCTGCACAAAAATGCCCCTCCTCCACAATAGCATGTGTGGCTGGGAAAGGGGGGGCTATCACTTAGGGTCCACCACCTTCCCCATTGGTTGTAGGGGAGGGAATGTGCTAGCCAGTTGGCTCTTGTGCTCCCTCCACCTAGTCTATTTAAGCTTATCCAGTCTTTTCAAAAAGTGTTCTACAGCCAGCTACCCTGCCTTCCATCCCCTTAGTATAGCATCAGTGCTGTGTTGCTTATGATGCTGAGTTCTGACTGATCACATGGTATGGGATCAGGAAAGACTGTTTCTTGTTGGACCAAATTGGCAAGAATTCTGGGGGGAAGAGAGGGTCGGCTTCTTCTCAGGATCATGGAGGCACCGTTAGCTTATAGCATTACCACATGCAAAGGTTTAACATTAGGAAAAGTTGTACTATTTTAGCACTGCAAAAGGAGCTATGCTGATTTACAGTTGAGCATCTGGCCCGAGATGTATTAAGCAATACTTATCTGACAGGTCGGTCTTTATTAATCATGTATAATATTGTGGGTCTAAAAAGGACTAGACTGCCTTGTAAATGTTGTTTTTGTTAATTAGTTGTTACCTTTTCTAGGTTAGTGAACTCACTTAGAGCCACATACAAGTCAACTCAATTTAGAGATGAGGAAACTCCAGGTGTCTAATATTGTCTTATAGCCAAATCCATGTCCCATGGGTGCAAAAAAAAAGCCCGAATTGCATTGGAACCACAGCACAGCACAGCACAAGTGAACGGCCACAGAAAGGTCATGCAGGGAAACTCTAAGACCTCTAATTTCTGCACATCAGCGCTGTGACAGTTTGGAGAGGCCTGGGGTTTGCTCACAACTAGCTAACCTGATGTTCAATATGACCCATTCCTGTCTACACTGACTGCAGAGCTATGGTCAACATCATATTAGTTCACATAACTGAAGGTTATTTCTAACTTGATGTAATGGTCTAATGAACACACGTCCCCCTCTCCTCCGACTTAGCAAAGACATCAGTAGAACCTGACTTGCTGAAAGCTTTCAGTGCCACAATTCGCTAGATGAATTGCGATACAACGTCAAGAAGATTACTCTGATCCTTGGAGCTGCCTGAGTTTGAGTTGCGGAAAATGTTTACAATAGGTCAATAGTTTCAGACACTATTTGTGTTTTAAGATGAAAATAGTTTGTATATTTTCAAGTTGAAAATCCAAGACATTTGTTTCAGGGGAGGGATGGTGCTAATGGATGTCACGGGTGCACAGGAGGGTTTGGTAGCTGGGAAGCTGCCAAATAGGAAAGGACTTGCCCATGCCACCCTGATATATTTTCTATGATATTTGTCTTCCTTTTTTCCTTATCCTCATGTTTACTTTCTCCTTTTTCTTTCCAATCCCTTCTCCTCCCTGGTTCTCATATTTGTCTCCCGCACTTATTCATTCCCTCTCTCACATCTCCTCTGTCTGTCCTTGCTCCCTTTTATTCTGCCATCCTCTTACCCAATACCCTGCCACAATCCAGTGCTCACCCTATGGTTCAGGGGAGGAGAGGAAGAGTGACAATGTCAGCCAAGTGTCGGCATGTGCTGGGATTACATTGCTGATTTATACTAATGCAGAGAGGGATGTGAGCAGAGTGGACAAGGGGCTTTTTTTTTTTTGAGGGATGGAAAAACAGTTAGTGATTTAGGGGTACCCAGAGGGTGAGGCGCTGAGGATGTTGGTGACAGAACATTTTATAGGCCTGGCAAAAAGAAAAGCTGGGCTCAGCCATGGCCAAGTCCTGTTCAGTGCGTACTGAAAATACAGATTTACTGGCTGTTCCTTTTCCATCCACCAACCCTCACTGACACATGTCAAGAGTGCAGCAGGAGTAGCTTTTCTGGGGCCCAACAGCCTACAGGGAAGATTCAGTTTCCCTCAGCAGAGAATTTGACGCTTAACAACAAATACATATCTTAATTAATAATAAACCTCAAAACGTCAGAATATGGAGTCTGTTCAAAGAACCTAATGCTATTGTTCTATTTTGCTTCTCTGGCAGACTGAGGTTTGCTTTCATAAGCCTAACTATGCAGTCTTCATTAGCTGGCAGGATGACAGAAGATTAAAAAATCTTGGCATTTTAGGAAATTGGCCAAAATGGGAAGAAGCTCTTACCCTGATGTGTAGGAATTCCCAGGAAAAGTGGAAAAGAAAAAACATTATTTATTATGCAGAAAATCTGCAAAATATAAAATTAACTCAGATTTATCATAATAATACTTTACATTTATATACAGGGGTTAATTTATGGACCTCAAAACAGCTTACCTAGAAGTAAAGGATCTTTATCCCCATTTTTACAGATGGGGAAACTGAGACATAGAGTTTAAGAGATTGCCAAGGGCCACACAACAAGACAGTTAAAAATGTGGGAGTAGAAACCAGATTTCTTGCCTCCCAACACCATGCTAGAGCCACTAGACCACAGTTCCTTCCTTGTGATATAACATTTTGCTATCTGTACATTATTTGCTCTTCTCGCAACAGGCTCTGGTGGGATAGCTTAGGGATGGCTGGAAAACAAGAAAATTCTGGTTTGGAGAATAATTTTGAGGGTTTCAAATTTGTTTTCATTCTGCATCAGAACAAAAATGAGACTGTTTGGGTTTTTGCTCTTAATGAAAAAGCACAAGAGTTTTAGCACAAGCGCTCCCCACACTAGCCAATAGCATGGTAGTTAAGGCATTCACTTTGATGCAGAAAACCCAAATTCAATAATTGAATTTTTTTCCCACATGTTGAGTTCTCCTCACACCTTCTATGGGTCATCTCGATTATCACTTCAAAGTTTTTTCTTCTGCTGCTACTGATAGCTCATCTCAATTGATTGGCCTCTTACAATTGGTATGCGTACTTCCACCGTTTCATGTTCTCTGTCTGTATAAATATCTTCTGTCTGTGTGTTCCACTCTATGCATCTGAAGAAGTGGGCTGTAGCCCACGAAAGCTTATGGTGAAATAAATTTGTTAGTCTCTAAGGTGCCACAAGTACTCCTGTTCTTTATTTGGAAGCAGATACTTGAACCTGGGTCTCTCACATCAGGTGAGTGCCAATCAAAAAATCAATTTCCCTCCTGGACCTGAGACAACTTCCCAGTGAAAGGCTTGTTGAAACAGATATGTTTCCATGAAAAGTTTTGGTTTTGATGAATCAGATTATTCCAATGAAAAAACGTTTGTCAAAAAATTCCCAATCAGCTCTACTATAGCATCCAGCGCATTCACATAAGCATAGGCTATAACCAGATGCGTGAGTCACAACTCCTCAGTGTTTTTTACAATTTCTAAGGGGTGGAAATTACACTAGATGGAAAAAAGATTACTGCCCATTATTCCACAGATCGTTTCCCGTGTCTTTTAAAGACCGGTGAATGGATGGAACAGACGTGAGGGTCATTTGAACTTTATTACAAAGGAAATTGGGCAAGGGTTTGTGATGATTACTGGAACACACAAAGCGGAGGTTGTTTGCAGGCAGGTTGGATGTGGATGAGCCATTTCAGCAACAAGAAATGCCTGTTTGGGTCAAGGGTCAAAAAATGTTCTCCTTGATTATCTGCATTGTGGAGGTAATGAATCCTATCTTTGGGACTGCCTCAGTCTAAGATGGGACTCATGTAACTGTGGTCCCAGTGAAGATGCTGGAGTCATCTCTACAGGCATTTTCTGATTTTCTTTTTGAAATACTTAAGCCAGATACCACACCAGAGTGTTTAAGGTATGTACATGCTTCATCTGATATGGCATGGGACTAGGAGTCGGGAAACCTGTCTTCTGTTCACTTATACACTATTGTGGACTCGATTGAGTTGCTAGACCTCTTTGTACCTCGACATGAAACACTTGGATATTTAAAAAATGAAAAGCACTATAAAAAGTATAGTTACTAAAACGTATTTCATTTGCTTCCTGTTTACAAAGTAAAACATTCTTCAGACATATTTGTTTAGTAAGGTTTTAATTAGACCTAATGCAAATAGTGAAGGTGAAAATGGATTTTTCTCTCTCATTCCTCTCCCCCGTTTTCCAATTGCTCATAATTTCCACAAAGAAATTCCTTTTTCAGCTGAAATAACCCATACTTGGTCTGAAGCCTTAAGGTGATCGTGTTATGTGGAAAGCTTTGAGTAAAATATGTGCAGCCATTTTTGAGTTATATAAGAAACGGGGATTAAAAATTCTCTGTGTTCCTATGAACATCTTGCTGGGGGTAGAAATTTCAGTCATGGTTTGGTTTGCAGGTCTTATTGCCTGTGTCTTCACACTTTTTTTTCTCATGTTCTTAACTTGTGTTAGCTAACCCAAGGTAAAATCGTGCTTTGATGTTTTCACAGGAGTTAGCAGGTTGAGATAAGTCCTAGGCTGTCCCCTGGTCTATAACTCAACCTGCTAACTCATGTGAAAACTACCAACTGCCTTGTCTTCATTTGGATTTTATCTCAAATTAATTAATGTGAGTTAAGAACACACTTACCTTTTTTTTTAAATGTGCTTCGAGATCTATTCTTTAAAAATGTTATATAAGACCTAGGTACATTTCATGGAAGTTACGGAACGTATCCTTAGGCATTTCTGATTATTAGGTTCCTCTCAAAAGACTAACAATTCCATAGGCAATAATCCAGTCAAGCACCTAAGCACGTGCTTAACTTTAATCACATTTAATCCATTGGTTTCAAATCAATGGAATCACTTCCTAGCTTGTGTA